GGTACAGTGTGTTCAGTGGCTTAGTGGTTGAAGTGCTGTACTGCAGTGTGTTCAGTGGCTCAGTGGTCAACATGCTTGGCTGCAACGTGTTCAGTGGCTCAGTGCTGGAGTGCAATGTGTTCAGTATTTCAGTGGTTGGAGTGTAGAACTGTAGTGTATTCTGTGGCTCAGTGGCTGGCTTGCTGGGTTGCAAAGTGTTCAGTAGCTCAGTGCTTGGAGTACAAGGCAGCTTTGTGTTGAGTCGCTGAATGGCTGGAATGTGGAAGTGTGGTGCAGAAGTATCTAAAAGAAGCATATTCAGTAGCTACGTGGTTAAATGGTTGGGATTTTGGGCTGCATTATATTGGGTAGAGTAGTGGCCAGAGTGCTAGACAGTGGTGTGTTCAGCAACTCAGCGGTTGGAGTGTTGAGGAGAAGTATCTCTAGAGATTGAATGGTTAACAGTGCTGGAAGCAATGAGCTCAATGGGTCAGTGAATACAGTGCTGGAATGTGGAAGGCAGTGGGCTTGGTTAAACAGCTCAGTGCTCAGGTTCCTACTCTGTATTATAAAACTGAAGGTTCAAACTATTAAGTGTCTGCAGTCCTGGCCTACACCTGGTACCACATTCAAAAATTCAGTGGAGCAGGACTAGTGCTTGAACTGGTTAAGGAACATATTATGCAAAATTCACTAAATGCAAATTGTTTTAACTGGAGGTCTATTCCCACTGCTACAGTATGAAATTGTAAAGTGCATTTTATGCTGAGATGTAACCTAGGTTGTAGAAACAGAGTTTCGCATTAGATTTTTGCATGCTATCAACTGCAAGAGTTGAAGAATGATCATTTAAAATTTTACATTGAATAGAACCTGCACCTTCATGCAAGTTAAAAATACAAAATCGTTGTTTGGAAAGTGAAAAACCAAAGTCATAAATGCAAAAACTCTGAAATAGACAGAAAAATGCATTTTGTATTAACTGAGGCTACCACGTTCCGTGGGAAATGATATATGTTTAAGGATGCAATGCAGTCATCTGAGAAACAGGTATATACTGTAAAATTACTTATGATTGGTTCTGCCAAGAGTCTTGTCTTCATAGGTGGCAGTGCTGCGTCATTGAAGCTGTTCTTAGCTGGGTGCACGTCTCTTTTCTAGTTTCATATGTTGAACACTGCCACTCAGTGGTAAGATGCAGTTATTACAATTGTTGGCCACTGGAACTACTTAGCTAAACACAAAGCAACAAACGTAATCAATTAACTGAACCATTAATTGGCCAAGGGAAAGAGGACTGGTTTTCTAAGGCAGCAAATTAAAATGATAGGGTGAGTTTAAAATACATGAACACAGAGCTTCTGGCCCATTACATTACAACACATGAGGACAGCACTCTGGTCTTGCTGGCCAAAGAATCATCCAGGAACTATGAGAAAATGCACTATTTTAGGCCTTTTAAAAATGAATTCAAATTAACATTGAACTCAAGGAAATAAAGTAATTTATAGGACAGTTTCTCTGCACACTTTGGATTTCCTAATAGAGTTTCTCTGTATGGGCCTCATGGAATGCTGAGACTTGCTCTCATCTGGTTAGGTTTTTGTCTGTAATTGCCAACACATTCATTTGTTAATTTATGTTTGGGACAGGCATGCAGGACGGAATTGCAAGACTGCAGAGAACTGTTCATTAATCAGATTGTAGTGTTGGGCTGCAGTATGTTCAGTTGCTCAGTGGCTCTAGTGCTGGATGGCAGTTTTTTCAGTATCTCAGTGGATGAAGACTTGGCAGGAGGGAGCTCAGAACTATGTGCTATCAATTCCCGTTATAAATATCTGTAACAGAGGCACCACTTATGCCAGTCCAAACACCAACAGCTAATTCACTGTAATTGTGAAGCGTAAGCCAGTGTTTATCTCATGTTCAGGTGACTTTTATTTGCATTCTTACAAAAGCATTGCTTGGAGCTTTTTGAAATGATTTCATAGAGATAAAAGCAAAAACAACTTGTCGCTTTGCCTTTGCATTCCTGTTCCTTTGACGGCTGTGTTTTTAACAGCACATGAATCTGCTTGCCATCTTCTTCAGGATTCAAATCCAGGGAGACTGTAGCTGTGAACAGAATGGTGTTACACCTTGCAGTTTTGGACGTAACCACGAAGCAGTTATATCTTGTTTGTAAGCCTTCAGCAAACTAATGAGAACCCACAAAGGAATTGTGTAAACCTAGCATTGTAATAGCTCTCTATCAGGAGGCTATTAAACTGAATTAATGCAATGGATTCATTAATCACAGGCAAGCATTCATTTAACAGAGGCCCTAGGTGATTAGTGATGTTACAATATAAATCACCCAAGCACCCAAATAAGGATTAGAAACAAAAAAATCCGTGACCAACTGAAATTTTAATGATAAATCTCTTCTCATTTTCTTTGTTTAGTATTGAAATATCGGACATTTGGAAGAACAGACACTTCTAGGTCAATTAGAGTCAGTTCCTGTGGTTTCAATGGTGGGAAGATAGCCCATTAAATTTCATCATTAAATGAATTTAATGTGGGAGTTCGCCCACAGATGAAAATCAAGCCCCCTGTGTTCATACCTCAATGATATAGACTAGGATGTCTTCCAAATGAAAACAAAAGAAAGAACATCAGATCATGCTACTGGAGGAGAGAAAAGTTTGTGAAAGCAGGAGTTCTGATGGCTTTGCGCTAATGGGCATCAGACAGTGATGTTGAATAATCCGAATCTCTCTCCCATGCGCTGAATCAGTAAGACGGCCAGATCGTGTTGTACCCAAGAGTGAGCCAGGACCCTCCTCAGCATGTGCCTGAGCAGTGCCAGCTCTGGAGTGTTGCATGTTCACACAGACGTCATGGTCACCTGCTTCTGTCCTTCTACTGTCTCACACCCAGCATGGCCAGCACTGCTCAATCTGGGACCACAACTGCCCCCATTCCCCAGTATGAACTTTACTGTGGTGTTAGCAAGGCTCAACACCACAGAGACTATATTAAAACATATTTACAAACATACAAGCATTTATTTTTTCTAGGTTTAAATTATCTTTACATACGCATTACTAAATATGGAAAGATGAATGCTTTGATGCATGGAGGGATCTTTAATATAATCTTTAAAAATAGTACATTTGCATGTTATTGCTTAATGAACTATATACTATGACACTATATACCAGTGTCAGATCAACAAGCACAGTATTAAATCCCTACCTTTTAAAAACATGCTTTTCCAGTATTCTAGAGGTACATATTGTTATAATATGTGTTATATATGATACAGTACAGTATATTGCCTACACATACAAATGAGGGTACAATTGCCCTCTACATTTTGAGATTCATTCATGCTATACGGATACTCTGGTTCAGATGGAGCTCTGAGGGTTTTGAGCTGTACAAAGATTTGCGTTTTCATGCCTGGAGATAAAGGCCTGTGCATTTTCCTTAACAGCCATTCGCTGTTGGTGACTTAAAAACCAAAAGGTTAGATCTATTATTGCAGAGTAGAGGTCTCTGCTAAAAGCCAACAAATCCGGGAGCGGCACGCTGTCCGTGCAGCAGAGGCAAGAGAGAAAAGGTGCTGGCTGAGCAAAGAGCTGCTTTGGAATAATAAATACACGTTAGTTCATAGCAAGAAAGTTCACAGCAAGGAACAGAGAAATAAGGCAATTTGCATAGCAGTAGGGCGAGGTCTGCGAACACTAATGCTGAATTTGTATCAGGGGGCTGGGAAATAAATGACAACTGGGCTCCTTACTTACATCACAGACAGGTGAAGTCCTCATCGCTGTGGCCAGCCAGAATAGATCAGATGACTGTTCCCCACACCATCTTCGCCAAAGCTTCAAGAAAAAATCTTCCTATAAATGACTCAACAAGTCATTAGTTGCAGGAGCAAGCAATATCATATTCTTTTTTATTTTATTTAATTTATGTGATGAGTTAGCCAGGGAAAATCTAATCTGTGTTGGCTGTGCTTTGTCCCCATGGCCCAAAGACAGCTAAGTGAATGAATTCTCCTGAACAGCATGTGAGCTGGCAGTGCTGAATGTAGTCTGACCATGGGCATGGACGTGACTTTCTGCAGAGGTTCAAGGACACGCTGAATTATGACAGTCTTGTGGTAAAGTGCATTTGACGTCTGGCTCATTTGAATCATTTGTCATTCCAATGCATTTGTTTGCACTGTACACTTCACACGATGTAAGCAGCAAGTCTGAAACTTTGAAAAGTGCATTGTCCTTTGTACTGAGCTATGCTGATTAGCTTACAAAACATCTTTATCTCGTTATGCCCTTCAGGACTGTCAGACCAGTCCCTGACCTGATATTTGTGAATGGGGCAGTTCTGTGTCCTGCAGACACTGGGTAGAGCCAGCCATTGCTGGAAAGGCAGATAAAAACTCAGGAGCAGTGAACGGCACTGCTGATTGATTTCTCTATACATATACCGTATACATATGGATCTATCTTATATGCTACAATGTTGCAAAATTATTGAACTTTTATGCATATGTAGTACACAATAATGCATTAAACGTGAAAGCCAAAAGCAAAACTAAATTAATCATTTAAAAGCTGTAGTGAAAAA